GCTTTGAACTCATTTCAAAGCTAAACAAGCAGCCTGTCGGCTGAGATAGCTCCGCTGTTAGCAATGCACATGGCAATTGAAGAACAGAAGATATCATTCGAAAATGAACAATTCTGAGAGAGGTCCACATGTAGTACCTATATGTATAATATATCAAAGCAATTGGACTTGCGGTTTTCAACAAGAAGTCGAAAATATCACTTTTTACCAAAAATTACAAAAATATTCACTAAAATTAGAGAATTGAAGATATCATCATGAAATGAACAAATCTGAGAGAGGTCCACATGTAGTACCTATATGTATAATATATCAAAGCAATTGGACTTGCGGTTTTCAACAAGAAGTCGAAAATATCACTTTTTACCAAAAATTACAAAAATATTCACCAAAATTAGAGAATTGAAGATATCATCATGAAATGAACAAATCTGAGAGAGGTCCACATGTAGTACCTATATATGTAATATCAAAGCAATTGGACTTGCGGTTTTCAACAAGAAGTCGAAAATATCACTTTTTACCAAAAATAACAAAAATATTCACCAGAATTAAAGATATCATTACAAAATGAACAAATCTGAGAGAGGTCTACCCAAGGTACATATACAACAAGTATCAAAGCATTCAGGCTTGTAGTTTTCAAGAAGAAGTCGAAAAAGTAAAACATTGATACGGACGACGACGACGGACAATCACTCATATGATAAGCTCCGCTCGACAAAGTCAACAGCGAAGCTAAAAAAAAGAGCAAATAAATTCTTTGTATAGAGATGGTGAATAGAATGCTATTTACGGCGCAGCAGGAAAGAGTATCAGAGTTACATGATTATCAGAAATCAGCATTAGACATGCCACAATACATCAAGAAATATGGCACACTCACCAGCAATTTTAACAACTTGAGCAATCCAGAAGACATGATTAGGAAGATCACAATCTGTATTTAAAACTTCTACTTTCATACCCACAGCAATATCCTCCCAGTAATTGGACATTGGAGCCTACAAACAACACAAAATAATGAACTATATTTAAATGTAACATTTTATATTCCTCGCAAACAAGCTTACATAAATAATTATATTATACCATGACATCACAAGTGCAGTTCTAGTTCAAATGTGCGCACTGCACTGCATATATTTGTGATAATACACTTACAAAAGTACCGCACATTAGTTACATAAAACCAGGATCAAGTAATGTCAGATGTTGTTGAGTAATCTGTATTTAAATTAACCAAAATTGCTAGAGAAATTTTTTCAGTACAACAGCAATAAACCATCATTGGCCTCAGTACACCAGGTCACATGTAGTTTATGGCTTAAATAACATATTCATGGATTGCATAAAGTCCTATATAGAATAAAGACATGTCTGGATTACTAAACAGACAATTACTATCATATATGTACTCTAACTGGTTTCCATGGAAACAATAACTTTCCCTGCAGTGTTAATGCCTACTCTGGTGGCCATTTTAATTGAATATAGTGTAACTATTACAACCTTGCCTGTTGAGAATCTAGATATTTTTGACTATCAAATAAGAATTCAGGATAGCTACAAACTAGACTACGTATTTTCTTCAAAAAGACACGATATTCCCCCCAAGCCTGGCATGGTGAATGAAAGATTTAATTTAAATAATTTTCCTTGGGTGGTAAGACAGTTACAATGTTAAACCAAAAAAAAAAATCATCTTTTCTGAGGTGGTCCTCAGGTAAAAGCCGACCCCTTACTTTCCCCGATTTTACATGTTGAGGCTCCTGGGCTTATGATCGGGGAAGTATGGTAAATTAAATGGGTTTTACTATTACTTGTATTATAAAAGCAGGAAGGTTGTCACCTGCGCATATTGATTCCCAAGCGACGATAACACATGCTAAGAACGCAAAGGCTAATGAGTAGACGCTTGTTTGTAAACAATGAAACGATATGACCACCTGACGCATGCATAGGTGACAAGTCCCCTGCATCAAATTTGCACTTTTAAAAATACATGTACTACCCAGTATATTAATCTTCAGGTTCCTTATAGCATAATACAACATGAACAGTACTACAAAACTTGTCATGTATCTAAGCATGATCAGCAGTGTAAATATCTCCATTCTCATTCATTTGTTTATTTCAGCCAAATTTGCATGCATATAGCAGCTACAGTGGTGTATGACGATTTTTTTTTTAATTCTGGCTCTCACTACGTAAAAACTACAGCAGTAGGATGAGATATTTCTTACTCTTGATGCTCACTATCTGAAAGCTAAAGCGGTGTGTGATGAGACAATCTTACTCTAGGCACTCACTATGTAAAACTAAAATAGTATGGATACCTCTGTCTGCCTACTGTAATACAGATTACTCTGGAGTGGGTGTGCCAGCAAAAAAGTCAATTCATGAGTCAGTTTGTTAATTTGCTGCCACATTACTTTTTGAGATTTGCTGTAAAGACCATGGTGAATAGCAGACTGGTACAAAATTGGCCATCAAAACTACAACTATGCTCAATGAAACTGGGAATTGCATTTATAACATAATAAATAAGATGTCAAATAATCATTAATAAAAAGTAGACAATATTTGTTTACATATTAGTATTTTTCTCCACATTTTAAATATAATGATAAACTGAGTACTTACATGACCAAAACAACTAACTAAAGCAGCATCACCATTGGTGTCAGTAAGATAATTGCTCCAATTGAATGGTTCTCCGTTGGCTTTTTTCTTACTTGCTGTAGGACTGCTATTAGACTTCTTAGGAGCACATTTTGGCTTACTGGTTGTAGCCTATAAAAAAAAAGGGAATTAATCTCCATTCATATGTACTTGTATACATTATTCAAATGTCATGTCTTAGTAAGCCCACAAAGACCAGTACAAGTCTGTTTTTTTTTCATAAATTGCTTTAGAGCTCTTACAGATCACAAGATATCAGAGAGGAAAGTTTTCCCGAGCTAGGAAGAAACCCTCAGAGCTGGGTTCATCTCAGGGCGTATAAAACGTATGTAACATACATTGAGCTATTTGGAATACAATATTAGTCATTGTTGTTTCAGTAAGATCATGAATATTCATAACTTGATAATTGTAGATGAAACAACTTACTTCAATTTTTGGTTTCTTTGACGATTGTGATAAACCCGATTTGGGTCTCTTACTAAGTGCAGCTTTCTGTGCGGCTGAACTTCGCGAACACGATAAGCTGCAAAATCTTTTAGTTTTCGAGTAAAAAGCATGCTGTACACCAATTTTACCGCACCATTCACAAGTAGCTGCAGAAAGAAAAATAAGAGAAAATAGCAGTTATAATGTATATGCTCTGATCACAGCTATAACTGATTATTTCTTGCAGAATCTTAAATTTTCTTTCTAGGACCCCTAATTAGAAAGAGTCCCTTTATGTTGGGGCCTCATTTGTGATACAGATAAACAAAACCAATTTATGAATCCTTTATAATAAAGTGTTATTCAAAGTACATGCCAGGAGACATTTTAGCAGCAATTCTTAAGCGTGCATTGTGTCTAATTTTGTCCAATCCATTGTTTTAATTGAAATATAAAAGGCCATTTAAATGCAGTTAAAATTAAAAATATTGGCACAAAAATATGTTTCAAAGGTATGCTTTAATAAAAGAATTCAACTGTTTATAAATGCAGGTATAATTTGATTGAAGTTCAAATTGAACTTTCAATCAAAATATATTGAAGAGGAAAAGTTGGGGAATACTGTAAAATCTGTATTAGAAGCCGCATCTCTAATAGAAGTCGCACCCATTCTTTTTAAACAATTGAGAACCCAAATTTCATTGTTTCTCATATGTGTAGATGCTCTAATAGAAGCCGCATCCTATCTGTTGCATTGTACCATTTTAATAGAAGTCGCAGCTTCAAAATTTGGGTTAAAACACTTTTTTTTAATCATTTTGTTTTTCCTAAGTGGTGCATAACATGGAAACTTGTAATCAATATCACTTTTACATAAAAGAAGAAAATTATCGAATATCTTCATAGATTAAAGAACTAGGGGTTTTAATCTGATTTTAATTTTAATCGAAGTTAAACTCTGCAAAGCTCCATTTCAATACAGAATATAAGCAATCAGAGCATTTTTTAATAACATATCTGAAAAGCCAAAAATCATATCAGTTTTTGAGATTTTGTTCACACAGGCAGGAATGTGAAAATTATCACGCAAATTAGCTACTTAATATGCATTGACATGGCTCCAAAAATAATCGTGTTTGCACATTACCCCAAGATACCTATATACCAATCTGATCAAAATCTACTCACAAGTTATAGAGATTTTGCTTACATGGATACACACACCTGACAGACAGGACAAACATAGCAAACTCATAACTTTCCTTATGTGCTTCACACATGGGAGCTAAAAATCATATTGAGAATATTTGTCAGATTGTATTGTTTGCATGAAATCACTATATATATTTTTTTGGAAAGAATATGTGGTTATTGTTCATCTTTATCGAATACAAATTATTAATACGTCACTGATTGCCTAGAGCATGTCAAAAAAAGTTTTATTAGATATCTGTTATAAAGCGCACATATCTTATGATCATCTGTGGTCAGTAAGATGGCACCTATTGATAGTACATGGTGATACACCTCATAAAAGAAGTGCTGTAATTATGATTTGATGTGACTGGTGTTGGGGAGTTATGACAGCTCCTATCTTCTCTTGCGAATTTTGTTTTACGCACCTTACAAATGTTTACATAATCCCTCATTAATTTATATGGCTGTTAATATTAGGAAACATTTCATTCACCATTAACAAATTAATGGATTTCCTTGACATTTACACTATGGTTTTATTTTATGCCGCTGTGCAATACCCAGATAAAAATATATGGTCACCAAACTACTCTTCTAACAAAAAACAGTTCAAACATCCATGAGAATTTTTGAGCCATTTACCATTATGGTTTCTATAGTAAAAAGTTTTCACCATGCCTTAAAATTACGTTTTAGTTTATGTATGGTGAAAAAATCATATGTAGTTGTAAGATGGGTGGTTGTCAGGAATTCTTTGAACATTTAGAAGATTACTATTTAGTTGAATACATTTGTACCAGCAATCTATTCTAAGGCTATACAACACATGTGCTTCCAACACTGCTGGGATAGATGTATTTGATAGTGAATCAAGGTTTAGAAGGAGGATTTCTGGTTATTATTACAACAAAAAAGTCACTTTTTTTAGTTTCATTTGATATCTATTTGTATAATTTTCATGATTCAATATTTTTGATGTTTTCTGTGTGAGCATGTGTACGTGTGTAAATTATCTTGTGTTCTAATATATTGCAATATTTTTTGAATGAAGCCATGGACCTGTTGGCTTCTGAAATAAACTAAACTATTTGCGATAAAATATATATGAATAAGGTTACAGGTATTTTCTCTGAATTTGTCTGAGATGAGGTAAAATCATCAGTTTTACAGACACAGTCTACTGAACATTGACAAAATATTCATCCTCAACCATGCCAGGTCTGAGTTGAAAATCACCAGTTTTACCAACACAGGTCTACTGAACACTGACAACATATTCATCTTCATCCCTGCCAGGTCAGAGTTGAAAATCACCAGTTTTACAAACTCAGTGTACTGAACACATACACAAGATATTTATCTTCACCCATGCCAGGTCTGAGTTGAGAATCACCAGTTTTACAAACATAGTCTACTGAAAACTGACAAATTATTCATCCTCATCCATGCCAGGTCAGAGTTGGAAATCACATTTTCTACAAACACAGTCTACTGAACACTGACAAATTATTCATCCTCATCCATGCAAAGTCCGAGTTGAAAATCACAATTTTAACAAACACAGTCTACTGAACATTGACAAAATATTCATATTCAGCCATGCAAAGTCCGAATAAAAAATCACCAGTTTTACAAACACTGTCTACTGAACACAGACAAATTATTTATCCTCACCCATGCCAGGTCCCAGTTGAAAATCACCATTTTTAAGACCATTATAATAAGCATCATTGTTATCTTCATCTTCCTCATCATCATCATCCTCATCACTGTCATCATCTGAGGTGATTCCACTGCTATTGCTATTACTTTGTTCACCATAGCTATCATATGCATCATACAAGGGATAGATATCATCATCAGCTCTCCTATCATGACCAGATTCACCCTGCATTATAAGGATATTATTATGACCATATCATTCACTGTTATGACATTTAGCATCAAATATTATTTGGTATTTGAACATCATTACATTGATGTTAAACATCAACATTTTATGCACTTTTAACAGTGAGCACAGAAAAAAAAATTGTGTGATAGTACTACATTTCGTAATAATTTCATACAGAACTGGATCAAAACATCCAAAGAAGTCGCCTAAATAAGTTTGTTATCAATATGGACAAATTATTTTTATTTTTTAATATTTGATGATGAGAAAATTGACATTCTAATTTGATAGGATTGAATTTGTCAGCCAGAAACTGACAAGAAATTAATATACGGGAACACTAATAACAACTATGCTGCATTATGTACCAGGTAATGGCACACTTTAGTTTCATGCCTGGCATTTAGAATTGTTACACTTTACCAACTGTTCCATTAATGTTTTGTCTATAAATAAATAAGTATGGTTGCCATTGTTTATACATTATTAACAGACATTATTTTCTTTCTTTAATGTCAGATAATGCAAAAAATGAATCAATATTGTGTAATATACTGGCCCAACATTTTTGTTCAACAAAAACATGACTGGCTTTCTAACCAGCAAAATGTTCACCCCTCATAATACTGTATTACCTAAAGTGTGTCAGGCTGTGGGTAGAGGTACACTAACTATTGTGTCCATTCAGATTAAAATCGATTGGAAAAGTACATACCATATCTCCAGCTCCTCCAATATCATCAAACGTTGTTGACCCCTGATTCATCAGCTGACTAGGATCACCTTCATAGTTTGAATGCACATCGCCGGAGTCATGGCTTATGTCAGTCTCTAAAGAATACTGAAAATCTCCCCAACCTAAAATACACAGAATGAAAAAGAAGAAATTGGTAGATAATTGTCTTTGACTTCACTAATAAAAGTGTAGGTACATGTACAATAGAATTTGTATAAAAAATAACATAGTACCTCTATTTGCATGGCATTAGGCCAGACTTATTATCCCTTGTTTCGCGAACCCGCCGAATGAACAGGAGCCAAAATAGAAATAAAAATAAAATTTTATTTCAGCATAATTTCTTGCACACGCCGACTTGTAAGCGCAAAAAATTGCTAAAAAATATTATTTTTATCTTCATTTTTTTACCACCCGCCGCATACCAAATCCAAGTTGCATTTTCGTGGGAGTACCGCGCAGATGAGAAACAAGGTTATACATGGAATAAAATTTTATTTCATTTCTTCTCTCCGATCAATGATCTTACTTACAATTCTTTGAGAATCACACAAATCTAATGGAAAAAAAGAATTAATTTTATTTTTTTCCCGCCCTCTTCCAAAAAAATGCCTTATAAAAACTGAGAAACAAGGAATAAACAAGCAGCCTCTCGGCTGAGATAGCTCTGCTGTTAGCAATGCACATTGCAATTAAAGAACAGAAGATATCATTAGAAAATGAACAATACGTATAGTATCAATGCAATCGGACTTGCTGTTTTCAACAAGAATTCAAAAATATCATTTTTCACCATAAATGATTGTGGTTTTTAACACGAAGAAAATATCACTTTTTACCAACAATGACAAAAATATTCACCAAAATTAGATAATTAAAGATATCATTACAAAATGAACAAATCTGAGAGAGATCCACATGTAGTACCTATATATGTAATAATATCAAAGCAATTGGATTTGCAATTTTTAACAAGAAGTCGAAAATATCACTTTTTACCAAAAATGACAAAAATATTCACCAAAATTAGAGAATTAAAGATATCATTACAAAATGAACAAATCTGAGAGAGGTCTACCCAAGGTACATATTCACCAAGTATCAAAGCATTCAGGCTTGTAGTTTTCAAGAAGAAGTCGAAAAAGTAAAACATTGACACGGACGTGGGACGACGGACAATCATTCATATGATAAGCTCCGCTCGACAAAGTCGACAGTGGAGCTAAAAAAGTCTGGCCTTAGTTTAGGTAAATTACAGTCATGCGTCATATGGTAATGAGACCAATTTTTAAATTATGTGTGCTTCTATTGACGATACACTTTTCACAGAGCAAATGTGGTGTTTCTAGAAAAATTGACCAAGACAAAGCCGGTGGGTGAAAGGTCATCCAGTCTTGAGAACTCTCGCTTCATTGTAACGACATCAAATCTCGTGAGAGTAGCTAGCACAGAAACAACATGGCGTATCGACCTGGAAACGCCATATCGGAAGGTTTCTGCGTCGTTTTAACAGTATTTATCGCCATGGAAACATTTTTGGAGTAATTTTAGTGTATTTGGTGTTCAGACACAATGTCAGCAGGTGTTGCTGGGAAGTTTTCATGGAGAAAAATATATTTGAGAAAGAGTTCATGTTGTACAGAGGTGCGCGGCTCAAGAAATATATTTATGACTTGAAAGTTCAATCGGCAATTCAGTAAGAGGGCGCCATCCGAGAGTATCAGGGTGCTGCGCCCCTGTTCCTCGGTTTAGAAAAAACCCTGAATCTCTACCCTCTTAAAAAGATACACCAGTAAATTTATCATCCCTTACAGTACATTAATTGTCTATCTGTTATAAATGTGCATGTACATAAATATCCCCCTAGCAATTCTAGGTAAAGTAATAATCTCCAGGAAGTACTGAAATTTAGTTAATATGCAAGTCACTGGAATCAACATCTATCATAATACACATTTTGTTTGTGGGGGAGTCACTGGGCTTACTAATAGCAGTATTGTTTCATTTGGTTGTCCATCAATAATTTTAGTCTGATTTATCATAAGATCTTAGTTTTATCAGATCTACACAAGAAAAACTTCAAAACCTGTCATTTAACAATAGTTTTCAATTATATTCAGCTCCTTGTCATGCACTTTATAACATGAAGTATATGCGACACATGAATTCGGCTGGATATTTTATTTAAACGCAAGGCTCCTGTATATGATATATATGTAGATACATGAATTTATAATTACATACCTGGATCGGAATCCTGTTTGAAAAAAGAAAACAGAAAAAGATTTACTTGAAAGAAATATGATGCGCTGTATGTAACTTTAATCACACGAGCCAGTTTCTTTCATACTTGTTGTATACAAGGTTGACACACACACACACACATTCAGATTGTTTCAGACGAAACAGTTCATAATGAAGAAAAATTGTAAAATAGTCACATATTGCTGGAGTTTAGTAATCAACACAAGGCACATGTGCATATATGTAAAGTACAAAGAACATGTCATATTGCACAACTGTTTTAGAGGATAGTCTTGGTTTTCAAAACCAATTGGAAAAGTTGTAGGAATTATTCAGTGCAATTAAATATACCAATATCACTAGAGAACTTATTTCCATCTACAGGTAGATTTGTTACTATCTATGCAATTTTAGATACAAATTAACTAGTGTGTCTCTTGTCAAATGTAACCTGCTCTGCAAAATCAAAGGGTCTAAAAGTTCTGGTCATTGACCGGTTGCCAATGATGAATTTCTTTTGGATTTTTGCCACCAATGGCTTGAGTAGAATTTCAAACCAGGTATTAATCTAAGAAAATAGTTATTATTTAAAACATGCCATCATCCACAGAAAAGTAAAATTTAACAATATCAAGAAAAGATATTGTCGATTATTAAATAAGTGTGTGACACAGTGAAATATTTCAAATTGCTACATGAATTTGAATTTTCATAATGTCATCTTCTTATGTTGTCAAGTGGCTAAACAGGTTGGTATTTGGCTGAGAAAAAACAATTTAGTTTTATCTCCTGTGGCTAAGACTTTACCCCTCAATGGAATACAGTAGTGCAAGAATATTCGTCAATGGTTTGTGGGTTGTTTACCATTAACTTCCATGGATGGTTTTACTGATGGCAGTTCATATTTTAGTTTAAAACAGTAGTACATATCAACAGAATAGCAATTGGCAGCATACATACACATGGAGTGTAGGAATTGTAAAATATTACACAAGATATGTATCATAACAAAATCAAAAGAGTAATGAGTTCTATTTTCACGATATGTTACACATATTCTATATGGTTGTGTACGTGTCCTTGTTTTTTTTTCCAATTTGCCATACCCATGTGCCAAACAACGAGTACGTACGTGTGTGTTGTTATGGGAGACAAAAAACAGAGCGGAGTTGAAAGATTGGTAACATTTTTCGGAAAACATGGCAAATGTATAATTTGCAAGACACTTCTGCCGAACTTAGGAATAATATATGCGATTTTCTCAGCTCATTCCCGGAACAAACTTGCATATTTCGCGCTAAAATACGAACTTTAAAAATACAGACCTTTAATTGACAGTCGCGAATCGAGCCGAAAGTGGGGAGCGATTGAAGCTTTCAACAGTATTAAAAGTGACATTGTTGACTTTTTTCCATTAGCGAAATATACAAATTCTCCACTGTCACAAAATTTTTGAGATTAATAACTTAGCAAATAGGGGAAAAAATCATCAATTTTAATTCGTTGGTTATTCAGCAGTGACTATCGCTCCTCGCATCCCCAGCGCGACGCGCCAAGATCACCGGTGATGAACGCCACATTTCTACTGGGAAAACTTAATAATTTTCATACATACCATGTTGAGGGCTCAGTCGGATCGTCGTCTACTGTTTTACGATGGAACCACTGTACAAAAAAATCTCAAAACATGAGTAAAACGTGAAAAGTACACGAACTTTTCGAGACCCAGTTCAAGTCCTCTATTTATCAACAAATTTAGCATGCTATCTTGCGCATGCTCACAAACATAAAACTGATACTGTTTCGTGAGATTTCATTGGTACGCTCCATTTCCAGATTTAGTTGACTTGTATTGGCACTTAACCGATGCTTTGATTGCACATGCCGAATAAATCCGACCGATGATAATATTTTTGAAAATACTTTATGTACTGCAATATCGTGTTAATATTAATTTACCAAATTAAATGCTGCGTGTTTTTATTCTGGAAAGCCCCCACCAACTATCAACCAATCAGAAAATCTGTTGCATAAGACCGTCAGGGCACTATCCTTTACATAGAAAAGTTTAAAGGCAAGTACTGATAATGATTTGAAATGCTTTTAGATGTATCAAAGTCTAATATAGTATGTTGAATAGAGATTTAATAAATTCAAATTTATACTTAATGTTAAAGAAAAATAAATTATAACAACAGCCTACCAAATCTTATGTGGAATATCATATTTGTTGAAAGAGGCTCTGATGTCACTTCCGGTTTGGAAGGAAACCACCGATCGAGGATGCCGCTGTGTTAGTAAACTAAGCTTTTGCAACTCAGAAATGTACGTCGATTAGTAAATTTCGTTGCTATTATGCAGATTGATTACGATGCATATAATCTATTTCTGTAATTTCGTTCTGTTTTTCATAGGTCTGAGTACTGGAAATCCCAACCGAAGAAGTTCTGCGAATTCTGCAAATGTTGGATCACTGACAACAAACCCGTAAGCATATCAAACAAATATATCAACAACACAATCGCGTGTGTATTGGGTGGGAGTAGGGATCGGGGTATCTACACGTAAAGTAGGTAGTAGTAAACAAATACATTTTGCAACTGACGAAGCGTAATGTGTATATAAAACTTATATATACATTATGAATGTCGTCAGCGTCTGGTTTCAGTGGCTCGACCATCTTCAACAATTTGACACATAAATGTCCAGTTGAGTTCAAGTACCTACAGTTTAATGTTAATTGTTCGCCGACACTCACATCGGTGGTCTCGTCCAGCATAATTGAATAAAACTGCTGACTGCTTCAACTCGTTGATTGTTTTGTCTTCTAGCACTGATGATAAAATAATTATCATTTCGTGCATGGATCTCTTGCTGCAATATGTGACACTCTTACTGACGTGTAAATCTGCTTTCACTGACATTCCAAATTGAGATAATAAATTCAACACTGGTTCAAAGTTTGTTGTATGCGGTATACGACGCTTGGGGAGGAAATACATAACTTTAAACGCAGAGGTGATGGCATCTTCTTTCACTTCAGGTTAAATAACTTCGCTGATGTTTTGGCTGGTAGCAGAAGTCATCTCGCGTTTCACGGCGTCTCGATGGGCTGATGTCTGCTCGTGGTCCTTTATACTACTCAGACGAATTCGTTTACATGCAGTTACATTCCATGTATCACGATCAAATGAGCTCATGTTGAATTTTTGACACAATCGGCAAAACATCCCTTCATCATAACGACAGTAAAGCCACGGAAACCTGAAGACTGTTTCCGTTGTTGTGGTGATTTTGTATGATCTTCGTCGATGTCTACTCTGGTTTTCTTCTTAGTCAGATCGTGGTTTTCTTCTTTCTTTTTCTCTTTGCTGGGTTTCTTGCGTTTGCTGGACGTAATGAAGCATATTGGATAGATAAGTACGGTGTTCTCTCTGGCTAGACAATCATAAAATGATGCAGTTCAGCACGATTGCTGTGTTTTTATCCACCCATTTTCAATAGATTTGACTTGATTGACAGGAAAATTCAATTGTTTGTATTTTGTGAGTATGTAATTTTATGGACTTCACGAATAAAATAAAAGATTGTTTATCACGTCATTGAAAGCAGTGACACTTGTTTTCTTTCATGTAAACGTGACGTCGGGCCTCCACTCAGACCGGGCAACTTCAATGCATTATCGCCGTGCTAAGTATGGTTTCACACTTACTAGTGTCGATTGCCACTGGGCCTCTTATGTCCCCAACTCGTTGAGTTGAGTTTCACGCCTATTTTTTTTTTTAATGAGTTACATAACCCAAGCTTTAATTATCCGCCCGTCTCAAACATTCTTTTGTCTTCCAGCGCTCTCGCTGCGTCATGGACAAAAACAATAGTGCCGGACGGCAGCCTTGTGTGCCGGTCACTAATTCTGAGTGCCGGCCGGCTCCGTCCACCGCCGTCCAGCGTGGGGAGAACCCAGAAACTAACAAATTGTACTTTGAGTGTGCTTTACGTAAGTCGTTTGATTTATTTGGGGGGGGGGGTATTTTCCAATTTGAGGGATGTCAAGTATTACAGAACAAACAAAAAATGCGAATACAAATATTGCAGAGCACCTCGGCCATTATATTGGGATCTGACAATTGTCTTGGGTGTATATAAATGGTAATATTTTTCAAAATTTTAACTTAAAAACATTAACCAAAAATGTAATCTTTACCGGGTTCCACTGGAGGTATGAACTTGTTGCCTTGGTCTTGAACGAAAGTTCAGGGCAAGGCATAGTTTGCAAAATGTTGCCATTGTCCATCACTGGTTCCTTGTCAGTTCAACTACCCAAAAAAAGTTTGCATGTGATCTATTCCAATAAGATACATCTCGTGTATTAGTATGTGTCTAATCTGGATCTGCTGAGAAATTAGACTGCCACACACGATAATTTTTAAGATAATATAAAAATATGATTGAACTTATGAGCATGATTATGCAACAAAATTCCATACGTTTTATTTCAAACTGATACATCTTATGATATCTAGATCTGCTGAGAAATTGGACTGCCACACATTAAGAAATACGACTGCCACACATGCATAATCTTTAAAATATGTTTGACCTTGTAAACTTACTTACTTTACTTCTATCATATTGAATCTCAAAAGACAGGATGTCCTCATATACATGCTGACTGGTGGACTTATTAATTGAAATCACATAGGTCACTGTAATAGATAAGTACAGTTCTCTGTCCGGCTTTAATACTTAGTATATATGTACCTTGGTTGGACCTCTCTTAGATTTGTTTATTTTGTGATAATATCTTCCAAGACTATTATTATTTGTTGTTGTCATTTTTGATAAAAAGTGATATTTTCAACAAAGTTGTATTGCTTTAACAGTTGGTATATCTTAGGTAAACTTCTCTTACATTTGTTCATTTTTGGATGCTATCTTACAATATCAATATTGTTCAAATTTGATTATGATTTATCGAGAACTAAATATCTTGTATTTGCAGGGCACACAACAGTATTCATTAGATAAACCACTTATACATATTTGCAGTGTACGTACCAAAACAGATTTGTGATACAAGAACAGCATTTTCAGTTTATAATGAATCATAGTTCAATATATCTATATCAATACATTATCAAACAACAAAAATAAAAATTACATGATCTTGTCCATATTACATCTTTTAATCGGATTTAATATGTTTTTTTCATTTTTGGTAAAAAATGGTATTTTCAATATTTTCTTTAAACCATACTGTATCTTCTGATGTTATCGTAGTACAAAAAAGATATCATAAAGCTGTTGTATGTATATATTTATATATATATATTTTTAAACCACCTGTTTGCTTTGACCTTGGACCCTCAGGTCAAAGGGCAAAACTATAATAATCAGTCCCCGTTCGGACGTAGTCCGAAAACGGGGACTTATGTTTTGCCCTGTGTGCGTCCGTGCGTCTGTGATCACCTGTATCTCGAACATGCATGGACCGATTAAGTTCAAACTTCACTCATACATCACACATTATATGGGACATATGCACATGCATTTTTTTCATGATCCGATTAACGATAGCCGAATAGCGGCCATTTTAAGGTCGAAAATGCATCAAAATCGCATTTTTTCACCATTCCGGACCCGGATCTCAGTTATGCATGGACGGATTTTGTTCAAATTTGGTACATACATTAAACATAATGGGACCTTGATGCACGTCATTTTTTTGTTGGGGATCAAGTTCGAAATGGCCGATTGGCGGCCATTTTGTTTTAAAGAATTTAGTTCTGGATCCGTATCTGAGACATGCCTGGATTGATCGAGTTCAAACTTCACACACATAAGGTACATCATGTCACAAATATGTATGTACATTTGTTTCATGATCTCATTAACGATAGCCAAATGGCGGCCGCTTTAAGGCCGAAAATGCATTGAAATCGCACATTTTCACCATTCCGGACCTGTATCTCAGTTATGCATGGACAGATTTTGTTCAAATTTGGTACATACATTAAACATAATAGGACCTTGATGCACGTCATTTTTTTTTTAGGATCAAGTTTGAAATGACCGACTGGCGGCCATTTTGTTTTAAAGAATTTAGTTCTGGATCCATATCTGAGACATGCCTGGATTGATCGAGTTCAAACTTCACACACACAAGGTACATCATGTCACAAATATGTATGTACATTTGTTTCATGATCTCATTAACGATAGCCAAATGGCGGCCGCTTTAAGGCCGAAAATGCATTGAAATCGCACATTTTCACCATTCCGGACCTGGATCTCAGTTATGCATGGACAGATTTTGTTGAAATTTGGTACATACATTAAACATAATAGGACCTTGATGCACGTCATTTTTTTTTTCGGATCAAGTTCGAAATGGCCGACTGGCCGCCATTTTGTTTTAAAGAATTCAGATCTGGATCTGTATCTGAGACATGCCTGGATTGATCGAGTTCAAACTTCACACACACAAGGTACATCATGTCACAAATAGATATGTGCATTTGTTTCATGATCCGCTTAACAATAGCTGAATGATGGCCATTTTAAGGCTGAAAATGCATCAAAATCACGTATTTTCACAATTCCGGAACCGGATCTCAGTCATGCATGGATGGATTTTGTTCAGATTTAGTACAATGTGTTGTACATATACAGGTGCATTTCGGTCATGATCTGCTTTGAATGTATATCTCACTCAAATATGAACAGAACGGGGACGTGTCATTGACAATGACTTGTTTTCCTGTGTTTTTATATTAAATATTTATGAATGTTTATAAATATCAAATGGTAATAATCCTGTTAGTAATTTAAAATTAATCTTTAAAACTGGTTTGCTATATATTGTATCCGTTCCTTCACAGAGTGTCGACTTTCATGAAAGGGGAAAGCGCCACAAAGAAAATGTACAGAAAAAGATAGTAGATGTTCAGAAGAAAGGAGCCAAAAAAGTGAAGCAAGATGCCAAGTTCAAGAGTGATCTTCAAGCAATGGAGGAGGTATAGACTGGACAATTCTCCTTCCCAAGTCCCAATGTCCACCTTTTGATACATTCACAGTGATAGAAAAAATCTTCCAGTTTGATTTCCAGGAACCACACATTCCAATACCTGCTAAGATGAAATTAAGATGAAATTTGTACTTTATTACCAATATAATATTGAAAATAAAACATGAGTGGTTACATGTATGTGTGAATACAGAAACACTGAAACCAGCATGAATGTCATATAATATTTACCTGACAGTGCTTATTTTCTATATTATTTTCAGGCTGCACTGAAGGCATTTGAAAAAGATGTTGCAAATGACCCGACTTTAGCCCCTCAGTATAAAACAGCTTTAATACAAAAGAAAATCAAAGGTAGAATTTGTTTCTTTTGTTTTGTCACAGGGTTAAGTTCAGTCAGACCTTTGTTAATAACCACCTCTATAGAAAGACCACTTTTTTGGCAGTCCCAAGGAATGACGCATGAGAAACATATGTATAAAAACCACCTGTGTTATGTGACCACACTTTCAGCAATATGTTTGCAAATTCTTATAATAATAATTAGCATTTCATTTATAAAACAACTTTTTTTCTTTATTCACATGTTATAGAGATCTTTACATTCACTTCATAACATGGTATAGGAATGCTATTGTATTACATAAATGTAGATTCACTTCATCACATGATATTTCATATGAAGACCACCTGTTTATAAAGACCTTTTCAATGAAGTCCCTCAGGTGGTTGCTATACACGTGTTTGACTGTATTTGGATTTTGACACTGTATTGGCGATGAAAATATTAATTACACAATGGCTGCCAATATCCTAGCAACAGTTCACTCCACGTATGTCCATTTGGTATCTCATAAGATCATTACACTTATTAAAAAAAGTTGAAGCTGAACATATTTTGGTTTGGTGTCCCTCACAAGTTCCTGGGCCAGTTTCTCCCAATCTTGGTACATGGTTGATACATGATATATGCCCCAGATTTCTTCTTCTTCAGATAAAAAATAGCCGACTGGCAACCATATTTGTCTCGAAAATAGTCTAAAAGCAGAGCATTATTGCCAAGTTGTACTTGCAAATTCTGTTGAAACCGAGAATATGGGATTCTACCTGTTGGCATACTGAGGCACATCCATTATTTTTCAGATTTTTTTTTCAAAATTGATCAACTAGCGACTATCAAAAATACTTATTAGTGATCGTATCACCATCTGAAAACATTGGTGATACAATTTAGTAGGTAATTTTAGCGGAAATTACAAAGTAATTGATAACTGTCTCTATTACTGCTATGTTTATTTGTTTGTTGTGTAGAAGCCAAAGATGCTGAAGAAATCCCCCAAGAACAACAACCTCAGTTACCTGTCGTAGTCCAAGCAGATTCATCAGCAGCATGGCTAGAAGGTGTGAGTCCAGAAGGGGACACATATTACTGGAACAGTGTGACAGGAGGTAAGTAGTGTTATGCAGAATACTACTTGAATTGTCACTTCACTTAGGACTCTTAGCGCCCTGACTGGCACATAGGACTGCTGCTAGGGTCCTCCAGGAGTTCAGGTCTGCTGCCCTGAATTGTAGAAGCTATTTAAATATACTTTTTTTTACCTATGTCCTGTATAACTTGTTCACCCAATATGTTTTCACATTTTGATCCACTTGCAAACTTCTAATTCTCATAGTCACCGAGGGGCGTGATCTAACCGGCTGGCCAATCAGCCCAAGAAAAGATTTGCATGAGCCAATCAAATGATGACGTTTTGACAGCAATCAAACTTGTGAATTAACAGCTGTGATATAAATGAATTTGTGGTGAAATAGAACCATACTTTATCACGACTCTGATTGGTCGAGGGCTGTTGGCCATGTGCTAATCCTACATATTTTGTGTTAGATGTTCTAATCAGACTCATACAGTTATATCATTTCAAAGCAACTTTTTAATATCATGTTTATTTGCTAGTTTCACAGTGGGATAAACCTGATGGCTTTGTGTCTTCAGCTGAGAACAAAGTAGAAACTGAAGTAACAAAAAAAATAGCAACTGATATGCCAAAGGTAACTATATATAATATCATGCTCTTTTGCTACGACAGACATTTTAATGTGGAAATTCATCAAGATCAAGCACTTCTGCATTTCAGAATTGGATCTTGGTTGTGTACAGATGGATTTTGTTTTTCAGATCAGATCAAAATGGCCAACTGGCAGCCATTTTGTTTTAATGTATGCTGTTCCAGAGCTATATCTTGGACATTTCTTGACCAATCATGTAAAAATTTTCTATATCATACCTTGTGTTGCAGATATGCATATTTATTCATTTAGTGATTTTATTCAAGATGGTCGAATTATGGCCATTTTAATAGTAAAAATTCTTTAATTTCAACCCTTATCCTGCCAGCCCCATGTGCTTTTATATTGCCTTGTCAAGATATGGTTAAGCATTTCTGCAATTTTGAATCTTGATTTTCTATGTGTGCAGTAATAGAGAATGGCATTGGAAAGCAGAATTCCTGGTTGACTTGATCTCTTGGCAAGTTATAATTCATTACATACGTTGTATACCAGAGCCATTTTGGAACATGCTTTGATTGAAAAGTCACAGTTTATAGAGGGACTACTTTAAAATGTTGCTTATCCCCTTAGCTGCAGTGGCTGAAGTTTGGCAACCATCTTTAACTTCTTTTTTGTTTTCATCATGGCATTCATTAACATAGAGATGTAACGATGGACTGTGGGATGTTCACACATCTCTTTAATAAATTAATTAAATGAATAAATTTATTTGATAATTTAAGTCACATATAATGCCATGGCATCAGTAGTAAACATTCATCCCAGACATCTTGACTGCATAGTGAAGCAGTAGGAACGCATGTGTTACAATATCTGTGTATTTTGTTGTTTTGATTATGCATGTTTTTCAGGGTGAAGAAAACAATAAGCAGGTTGATATTAGTACAGCGAAAGTGAAAACACCGGAAAATAAAGTAGATGCAGAAGATGATAAAGCGAAAGTAAACGCTGAAACCTCTGGGAAGAAAAGAAGTAACCCTTATGGATCATGGCAAGAAGTTGCCCCTGCAACTGAGTAAGTTACCATATAATCTTGAATAGGTGTCACATGCACTCTTATTTAGGAGCCAGGGAAGAATGAAAGACCTTAATTTGGTTCTAAAATAGGCGTCACAAAATGTTTTAAAACAGTCAATCAGAAAAACTGTTCACATAAAAAATACTTAAAGTATATTCAATGTAATATGCATTAATTTTTTTTATTTTGTTGGTAAAGAAAAGTATATTCTAAAAGTTTCCAATAAAAACAAACACAAATGTATTGTTTAGTAGCAAATGATCACAGTACCGTAGCGTAATCCAGCCATGCTGCATTTCACAAGTGAATAACTTACTTGTTTTCAAAGTGTTGCAATTGTTGATTATTACTCAGCAGTGATTATAATAACGTACAAAAAATACTTTTGTTGAATTGTTATGAAATGCAAATAAAATTCAACTTACCGGTAGTTTTATTGTACAAATGATTTTGGTCACATGTAAATGCTTGATGCAATAGGATATCCGCCACCTGAAATTGTGTTCTTTCAAGTTGCTAATTAACCAATCAAAATTCAGGATGGTGCCAACGTGTTCAAATTACTGTAGCTCATTTAAATATGTTAATGACAATTCTGCGACTTCGTGGTGAATGCAACATGGAAGAGATTTACCGATGTTGTAGTGCAATATTTGGCTTTGGTTTTTGAAAGATAAACGCAATGAAGAAGAATAATTTAACACTTTTGATAGTGATAAAACATCATTGAAAAAACAAAGTTTATCATTCACACTTAGCCGCTATAAACATCATACTCTTAAACCTAAATTAGGATCTATTTTATGTATTAAAAAAGATTTAAATGTTCAAAAAATGCCTAAATTAGAGATTATACGATACACAGCTTCTACACTTGATATGGTTAGATCATAGCAGGAAGTTGGCCCCTGCAGCTGAGTAAGTTACACAGCTTTTACACTTGGTGTAGTTAGATCATAACAAGAAGTGGCCCCTGCAGCTGAGTAAGTGACACAGCCATTTCATTTGGTGTAGTTAGATCATAACAAGAAATGGCCCCTGCAGCTGAGTAAGTTACACAGCTTTTACACTTGGTGTAGTTAGATCGTAACAAGAAGTGGCCCCTGCAGCTGAGTAAGTTACGTAGCTTTTACACTTGGTGTAGTTAGATCGTAACAAGAAGTGGCCCCTGCAGCTGAGTAAGTTACACAGCTTTTACACTTGGTGTAGTTAGATTTGAACAAGTAGTGGCACTTGAAGCTGAATAAAAAACACAGCTTCTACACTTGGTATGGTTAGATCTTAACAAGAAGTGGCCCCTGCAGCTGTAAGTTACACAGTTTTTACACTTGGTGTGGTCAGATTATAGCAAGAAGTGGCCCCTGCAGCTGAGTAAGTTGCACAGCTTTTACACTTGGTGTAGTTAGTTTCCCATCTGCACTGCATCACAACATTGGTTGTACACATCTAAACTGCATGAGATGTCAATTTCTTCTATTTACACTGCATTACAACAGAGTTTTCACCCATCTGCACGGCATCACAGATTGGTGTCACCCATGTGAACTGCATCACAACGTCAATTTCAATTTTTTTTGAGTTAATGTATTGTGTTCAATTTTCAATGATTTGCGTACTGGGTAGTATTACAATTCAAGTTCTGCTGTTACGAATTTTATCGTTTCTTGGGTACTTACAGAATATTGTAACCTAAACTTGTGTTTTATTTTTCCACAGTGATACAACTGATCTACAGCTGCCAGAAGCAAGAGTGAATTACATAGCACCACCAATAACACTACCAGTAGACGAACCAAGGAAATTTAAATTTAAAGAGAAGACTGTGAGCTCCCTATCAATGCCAAGTGATGGGGCAAACACAGGTTTCAAAAAACGGAAACTTGGTGGAAATCGAAACATAAAAAAGAGGGAAGAGTCATGACACCTGTTTTAATTTGTCCTCACTTGGACGAAGTCTAAATGCAAGAACTTATAATTTGACCTTTGTGTGTCTGTTTGCATCTGTATCTCAGACATGCCTGGACCAAACTTTACACATACACCTTGGGATACATATGTACATGCATTCACTTCAATGATCTGAATTGAGATGGCCATTTTAGTGCTAACAATTCATCAAAATCAAGAATTCCTGTGATTCCAGAACCAGATTTTGATTGTGTGTGATCAGATTTTGTTCAGACATAGTACATTCATTGGATCTTATTAGACTTTAGTACATGCCATTTTATTTTTCGAATTGGGTTCAAAGGGGCGAACTGGCGGCTAGTTTGTTTTAAAGATTGTACACCATTCAGGAACCGGATCTCAGTTGTGCATGCATAGATTTTATTTAACCTAGGACATACATTGAACATAATGCACCATTGATGCACTTTTTGGATTAGGTTCAAAATGGCTGACTGGCTGCCATTCTGTTTTAAAGAATGTAGTTCTGGATCCACATCACTGAAATGCCTGGCCTAATCAAGTTCAAACTTCACACATACTGGTACATCAGACATATCATATCGGCCAAACGCACATGCATCTGATGTCACCACCAGATCTAAAATGGCCAACTTGCAGTCATCTTGTTTAATAAACAAGTTAAATCCCTTAAAGCAATATCTCAAACATGCCTTGACCTACATAGTTTAAATACATCAAGCATCAGGTTATATATTTTGGAAATGGATTTAAGTTAATCTGTGACTGATTGAATTCAAACTTTGTCTATTAAACATCATTGAATGGGGGCATGCAATTATGTTTGTGCTTATTGGATTCATAATGCTCTGCCTGCCGCCATATTGTTTTAATACTGTTCAATTTTTTTCCTGTGTAAATTATATCAGGTCACACTAATTGTTGTATGACACTAATGTAAAACAATTTTCTGTTGGCCGTTTCATAAAAATGAGCATTTTTGTTAAAGTGGCAATAGTTGTATCAATCAATATTTCACTTGCACATCATACACCAAAATAATAGTGTACACCTGTCATATTCGTGAATCCAGCAATCATTATATAGGATGTTTCATCTTGATAGACATATTAATGTCTGATTTACCGTGAAATAAAAATAATGTTTTAGCTGCAAACACTGCAGTGTTCATTACACAATATACGCAAGTTTTGTACATATAGGCTTTTTTTTTTATCACTGTCATTTGCATAATATGAGGTTATTATGAGGATACCGAAAAGTATGCACGTAGATAGTATCAACTGACATGCAGCGTACTGTCCGAGTACATAATTTTCGGTATCCTCATAATAACCTTATTATTATACATGTTTTCCTCCCAGGAATACAGCATGGGAGTACCAAAATACAAAAAGTTTAGAACAGATTGAGCAAAACTTCTTTGTATGGGGGACCAGTCATACCCCGGGGGCTGCCATGTTTGTTTTTATTATTATTATTAATCCTAATACAGCAAATACCACAAAATTACGGCACTCTGTAACTTATGGCGTTACAGTGACAGATGTATAATAATGAAAGTTATTGCTAGGTTTAATCTGCATTTATATTTAATACTACCATTTAGATATTTGTCTACATTGATCTTGCACTATATAGACCATATCAGAAATTCAAATTACAGTGCATTGTGGGATAGTTTTGACTGAATATAACACAACTCCGCCAACCACATAACATTCTCACTCATGCAACCTGACAAACCATTCAAAACTTGTTTTGAAAATCGCACTGCAGGTCGACCACATGCTCGTGGCATTGCAATTTGACGTCTGTGACGCTTTGTATAAATAATAATATCCTGTTTTATTCTCTTCCAAGTCTATTGAGCTTGACCCCCACTTTAAAGAGGAGGAAGATGCCATCATTATATCATATAGGGATCTTTTATATGATTTTCCTTTTTATTGTTGTGTTTAATCCAGCCATAGTGCTTTAAGGATTTTACATCTTTATTAGTCCCCATTCAGGGACTCGTGGATTGACCTTGTGCATCCGCAAGTGCATGCGTTCGGACCTGTATCTTACACATGCCTGGGCCAATCACAATTCAATAAGTTCAATTACCCACCATAAACTCCAGTCAGTCAAAATGCCCCCCCCCTGCAGGGCCCCCCTGCTGATCGTAGGGCTTCCTCATGGTCTGCTTCTGCAGGTGGTGGTCGTACCGCAACGGCGAGGCTGTGCCCCTGGAGGTTTTTACTCCTATGGGGCCTGTTGCGGGTCCCACTGTAGATCCATGCTCGCACGGCAACAGGTTTGTCTATGAGATTCTTGCTTTGGTTGAGGACCTGCCGAGACAAATTGTGTCCCTTGCAGATCTGGTAGACTAAATGCAGGGGGAGCAGGTTGCCTCCACCGCAGTTGCCCCTTATTTTGGCAAGCTGGAAGAAACACACCAGCAAGCAATATTCATGTTCCTTCCTTCCTCGTTCTCCCCATTGTTTGGGAAACAGGTGGGGCACAGTTTGGTGTTACCGGGTACCTAGTCCACAGGCAGCCAACAAGAGACCTGGCAGTCAGTCCTCCGATTTCGAGGGGACCAAGCAGGGCAGGACATGCGGTTTTGTACCCTCCCCTTGCACTCTGTCACCCAGGGATTGTCTGTCGGACCCAGTGACAAGGGATAAATTTTTTTCTAAGTCCTGCCTCCACTACAGGTCACTCTCCTTTCCAGGACCCGCAGACACCCCCAGAGGGGACCTGCCCGGCCATCAGAAGGATATCTGATTAGGTGGGTGCAACCTCGGGCGACTCCGTGAGCCATGCTGTGACCTGATGTTCGATCCCCACCATCAATCCTGAAGCTGTCACTCTCTGTAGTGCTCTCGCTTCTGGGATCCAGATGGCGGGATTCAAAACAACACTGATATCATAACTCTCCTAGTCTGGCAGAGTACTGGATGCAGTGGGAACGCTCAGACGGTGTCATTGGTCTCCTGCGGAGTAGAGGTATAAGTCCTGAAGGTGGAGCAATTACATGCTTAACCCTTTCTTCTGGAACAAGCGCTACCTAATTGATGCAGTGTTTGAGACAGGAGCCAGCAGAGTCTGGAGCCAAATTTCACACCGACCGGATCCTTCGGTTCCTCCCCGACCCCGGAACCACAAATTATTTGGTTCAGTAGGAAAGCAGCAGTCTCTGTGCTTCGGGGTCCCTCCGACCAGTTGGTACAGGTGGGACCCGCGAGCCAGTTTGACTTCTGCCTAGGGCAAGCAGAAAAGACCCTAAGCTCAGAAAGCGTAATGACCACAGTCAGCACCGACTGGCAAGTGTCCTGACTCTTCCGGGAGAGGGTAGTGTGGTGACGCGCACCCCAGAAGAAGTGATGGTCCCCCCTTTTCCTCGGGTGGTCGCCCACCCAGCTCGCAGGGGAAGCAAGTTTGATGCTTCCACTTGCATCAAGGGGGGTGTGCATATGTTCGGGGGGAAGTAGAGTCTGAACCTATCGACTACAGGCCTTGCGGAACCTCACCTCGACGGAGGAGAGATCACTCCTCATGTAGAACCGCCAAACCCACATATCTCATATACCCACATACATCGATTGCGCCAGTGTATTCCAGATGGGAGGCAGCACGTAACCGACCCCTGGACTTTCCAGGTGGTGATACACTGTTACAAGATCTCCACCCCCTGGCAACATCCCCCTGTTCGGGCGCTAACAGGGGATTCCCGCAAAGCGAAAGCAATCCAACAGGAGGTAGACAGTTTGCTTACAGAGCACAAGACACAAGAGAGGTCCCGGCATTAAGTCCAAGATTCTACTCGCAAGTGTTGGCGGTTCCAAAGACTACAGATGGCTGCGTCCAGTTCTGGACTTCAGCAGTCTAAATCAGTATATGTTTCCTGGAAACACTGAGCACCGTTTTATTCTCTGTGCTCTGTTTCCACTGGTTAGCCTCGCTAGACTTGAGTGATGCTTACCCGCACATATTGATACACCCAGCGAGTCAGCGACACCCTCGATACCCTCCTTTGGGCCAAGTAATTGGGTACAGGGTGCTACCCTTTGTGTTTTGCATGGCGCCATATGTGTTGACCAGATGTGGAAACAGGTGGTGCTAATGCTGAGCCGGGTGTCAGTACACATCAACCCATACCTAGACGACTGGTTGCCAAACAGTAAGGCTAACACAGGATTTACTGCACCAATTGGGCTTCCTAGTAAATCAAGCATCCTCTGCCAACAGTTGCTGTTCCTGAGCATGGAGTTCGACAGAGAGGTGGGCTTGGTACGGCCATCGCAGGCCTGTTGCCTAGCAATAAGTGACCTAGCCGAGCCCCTAGTCGGCATTCCCTCTGTGTCACTTCGAGAACTAATGCAGATCATCGGAATGATGACCTCGGTTCGCAGGGTAGCTCCCCAGGCTGTGTTACACAGCTGCCCAGTACAACGCACTTTGTCACAACACCGGGCTCACCTATGGGAACTGGAGAGGTGAGTAACACTTTCGGACCAAGCAAGTGCTTTGCCCTGATGGTCAGCTACTGCCAACCTCGGGCAGGGGGTGCTTCTGGACCCACTCACCATGGGTATGACTCTGGTAACGGATGCCTCCCTCACAGGTTGGGAAGCGCACCTATTGAACGAACACCCAAGGAATATGGCCCCTGCATTGGATTCAGTACCGCCATATCAACTGGCTAAAAATGAAAGCAGTGCACTTAGCACTGATACACTTTCTACCCAGTTCGAGGCCGCAGAGTCTTGCTTCACACGGACAACATAGCGATGGTCTTCTATAACAACAAGAGGGGGGACTAGATCCCCATCGTTGTCAGTCCTAGCAGTGCAAATTATCCTTTAGTACCTGGAATACAATGTGGAGCTAGCTGCACACCACCTTCCAGGGGTGAGGAACAGTCAAGTGGACGCCCTTTAACGGCGGCTCCATTTCTAGAGCGCACCTACACTTTGACGCGGATGGCGCCCAATGGGCCAAGCAAGGCCTGGATTCTACTATTGTTGGACCGGGCTGCCAACATCCTGGACAGGGTGAACAGGAATCCCACCAACCCAGCCTACTACTTGAAATGGCGAGCGTATACTGATTGGTGTAGTGGAAGGGAGATCGATCTATGCTGTCCCTCTGTTGGCCAGGTAGCTGATGTTATGTCCATCTGTTTGACAAAATGGGCTTGTCCCATTCAGCGATCATTGGCTATATGTTAGCCTTGTCACCTACCATTGAGAATTTTCTGGGGACAAGGCTAGCTGGTTGTCTTACTATTATTAGGAGACTGTTTACTACTTCCCGTAATCAGAGGCCTAGATCTCGAATGAGGGAACCATCCAATTGGGACTTGTCAGTTGTAGTGTCCGCTCTAAGCAGACCACCCTTTGAGTCTCTCCAATCAGCATCACTCAAATGGGAAAACAGTCTTCCTACTAGCCCTCGCCTCAGGTAGGTGTTGGTCTGAACTAGGGACCTGTCCTTTTCGGATGCGGTGCTATAAACACAAATCAGGTTCCTTGCCAAGAATCAAATCCCAGGACACAATCCACAACCGATTGGCCCGGTGGATCACTGTGACCATGTTGGCTTCCTTGACACAGGGTCTACAGAGACACCAAGTATGAGCACATGAAGTCTGTGATTGCTATCTAATTGGCTCATGCGTCAGGTGCCCCCTTGAGCATGTGCTGAGGGCAAGCTTCTGGAGAACTCAAAATGTCTTTACCACTACTACCTAAGAGATACCCAATCTATTGAGGAGGGTCTTTTTAGGATGGGCCGTGGTAGCGGGTCAGGCTTTGGTTACTGACCCAGCCGAACGACCTCAGGGATCCCTGTGCATAGGTGATAGAACAGTCTCGGCATCACATTGTTGCAGAAAGATTTCTCCCATCAGCTCTGCTTGGAACTTTCCAGGTATTGCTTTCCACCTATGCCCTCATGCAAAATTGTTTTGACCTTACTTTTGAAAGCTAGTTACCCAAGCATTTGGGTTTGGGTCTAGCGTTCTCAGGTATACTGAACCCTGTCACCGTTTTAGCATTTTGCTTTCGTTCTGGGGATGACACTGGCAAGGTCGGACACCGTTACTTCACTGGTCTCAAGTAGATGGTAGTCATAAGTAGAAGGTATTATCCCAGATGGGACACCCTTTTATCGAGTTTG